ACAGACAGGGTGTGAGAGGCCAGAGGCCACAGCGCGCTCTCAGGGCCCCTGCGTGCAGAGACGGCATGGGACACGGGTGGCCCCTGGGGGAGGGCGGTGGGGGATGGGCACTCTGCTGCCCTGAGCCTCGGGGCCAGGCTACTCGGACATCTTAGTCTGCACCTGGCCCCCGCCCTGCCCCTGGGGACGGCTTGGTCTGTGGGCCACCAGCCTTGGTCAGCACGTCCCACCCGTGGAGTGTGCAAAGCGCCCCATGTGGTCTCCTGCTCCATGTGGGCTGGCCGGCACCGTCCGTCCGGAATGCCAGCGGGCGCGTGTGCCAGGCAGGCGGTGGGGCCCTGGGGACCTCTTGCTCATGGGTCTGCCCTCCAGCCCATCTGCTGACAGCTCTGGAACTGGGGACCCTCGGGGCTCGTGGACCTCTGGATCTGCCAGAGAGGTGCGCGCTCTTCCCGAGGGTGTTCCTGTGGCGGGTTCCTCACGCAGTGGGACGTGGCCCGTGGGCAGGGTGGCGCCACTCCGCTCTGCGCAGTCCGTTCTGAGCCTCGCTTTGAGCACCGTGTTCTGCGTGAGATTTGAAGGCTCTCCCGTCTTCTGCCACACGCTGGCCGCCGCCGGCCTTCCCGCTCCGAGCCTGGGCACTGAGGTCAGCAGGCCGGGGAGGCCTGCTCAGCAGGTGGCCCATGACCTGTCTTGCCTGTCCCCTCACATGTCACAGCTGCTTGGGTCCGGAGCTGTGTCCTTGGGGGCAATTGCCACGCCTGGTGACAGCTGAAGGCCAGGAAGCGCATTCTCATTCACGCGCTGCAGGGGACCCACGGGGCAACGCGCCGTTTCTGAGAAACGTGGGAAAGCCTCGGCAGCGTATCGGGTGAGGGAACCGGAGCAGCCCCGGTTTGTTCCGGAACGCCCCTCCCCCACCCTGAGTCACCAGCGAGCTTTGGGGAGCAGCAGAGCTGTGTTCTGATCACTTTTGTCTTCTCGGATCACAGGGCTGCTCAGCCCAGAGTGACTAAGTGGGAGCGCTTTGTGGGTCTGAAATGCTTTCAGCCGGGTGTTTCTATAGTGCGGTCGCCATGGCACCCAGCTAAGCAAGGAGCAGGGCGGGGACAGGAGCGGCCTGGCCGCCCGCAGGGACGGGCTTGGCGCCAGTTCACACGGCCTGGTGCCAGGTCTGTGGTGTAGACCCAGGCTGTGGTTTGCACTCTGTCCCTGTCCAGCTGCAGGTTGGAGTAGCCGAAGCCCTGCCGGGCGGCCGGGACCCCCTCTCCCCTTGGGGACCCCCGCCGGGCCCCTTGTGGGGCGAAGCTCCTCACTCGGGCCAGGTTTCCAGGATCCGCCCAGCAAAGTTGTAGCCTCGCTCCGCCAGGAGTTGGCGACGGCTGGTGTTCCTAGACAGGGCGGCCACGTGTCACTGGCGACTCGGGCCGCCGCGGCTGAGCGCTCGTGCTGGGGTCAACGCGGCTGGACTGTCGGCCCTGAGGCAGGGTCCTGGTTCTCCCAGTCCCCTGGGGCTGGGGCCTCACTCCTGTCTGTGCTCTGGGCGGGCGTGGGACCGGCTCCCCCCACCTCCCCGGGTTCCCGCCTGTGACCTGTGCCACTCCCAGCCGTTCACTGGCTCGTTTGAGCAAGTAGAAATATTAAAAATAAAACCCCACTCCCCGCCTGCATCGAGCTGCCAGGCCCGCTAAGGAGGCCAGGGCCCCCCAGGCACCGCACCCCAGGGAGCAGCGCGTCTGTGTGCGGACACGCAGCCTGGAAACCCAGAAACCGTCCGTCCGTCCGTAGGGTGGGCAGCCGGGCCAGGGCTTGGCGGTGCTGTTCTCAGGGTGGGGAGACCCAGAGGCCCTGCGGCCTGGATCTCGCTGCTGTCCCGGGGTGACCGTTGCTTCCTGGGCGCCACCTGCCCCCCTCTCGGGGTCCCAGGCCGCCTTCTTCAGTGTCTTCCGAGCATCTGCAGCCAACGGCAGTTCTCCCGCCCCGCTCTGGCCAGACGGCAGGTCTCCCGCCCCGCTCTGGGCTGGCACAGTCGCCCTCCAGGCCCAGCCACCCTAGAAAGGTCCCCAGGGGAGGCGCAGTGGCCTGAGGACAGGGTTGGGGACTTCCTGGTCCCCTCCCTCAGGAACCTTGCACACCCCCCTCACTGCCCTGGTTAGGGCGTTCCTGGCTCGAGCTGAATCCTGGAGGCCACACCACCGGCGTCCCCAACAGTTTCCTGGGGTGGAGGGTGAGACCCATTGGGCACAGTGAGCATGACCCCTACGTGGCCTCAGCCTGGCGCTGTGCATAGCCCTGGGTGAGGGGGACGGGCGTGGGGCTCATCGGTCACCCCGTCTCTGTGCACAAGGCCCCGGTGTGCCAGAGCCCTGCCCCACCTGGGCCTTTCACCCCGAGGGTGGGAGACAAGCCCGGCACCCAGGCTGAGGCTGGAGCACAGCGGGCCTGGCGCCCAGGAGCCCCCCAGCCCGGCCGTGCCCCCCATGCCTCTGCCAGCCCGGGGGCCCGGACCTGGCTGGTTCAGCGCCCCACTCCCCGGCGCTTTGGGGTGCATGGGAGGTTCCGGCGCAGGAGGCCCTGGTAGGCACATGTTGTGTAACCAGAGGAAAAGTACTTGGTGCTCCGGTGGAGGCGGGAGGGGGAGGAGGGAGGATGGGGAGGATGATGGAGGAGGGGGAGGAAGGAGGAGGAGGAAGAGGATGGGGGAGGAGGAGGGAGGGGCTGCAGAAGCAGGCAACACCAGCACAGCTGTCTGAGTAGCAGCTCAAGCCCCCTGGGGGTTGCTGGGGGCCCCTCACCTGTGCTGCAGCTCCTGCCCAAGTGCAGTGGGGGCCCCATCAGGCAGACCATGTGGGACACTGGAGAGGCCCAGGCCTGTTTCCTGAGGCTGCGGCCTTGGTTTGGGGGTGTGGTGACAAGCCAGCTCCCTTGAAGCCCAGGGGGGAGGGGCCGGAGCGCAGTGTGGGAAAAGGAGTCTTTGGTGGCAGGGCTGGGTGGGCTCTGGCCTTGGGGCCGGCGTGGCTGTTCTCTGCCAGACAGAGCCTTGTGCGGGTGGCAGCGCAGGGGACAGGCCCGCACCCCCAGCCAAGGCTCCGCGGGGCGGCAGCCAGGGAACAGCCTGCTCTGCGCACCCCGCTCTGCTCCCCACTCCGACGCCCCCAGCTGAGTCAGCCCCGGGCGGGGGAGGCCGCCGCCGTGAGTCAGGCGGGGGAGGCCGCCCCCTTGCGGAGGAAGGACAGCCTGCCTGAGCGCGGACGCTGGAAGAGCCACTCCCACAGCAGTGCCGGTGGGCGGGGTCCGAGCCCATCCTGGACGGTCTGTCCCAGGCCGGGTGGGGGCTCGGCCCCCTGGGGTGGGCGCAGGAGGAGGAGGAGGGGACAGGAGGAGAGCCCCAAGGTCTTCCTGGCAGAGACGCGGCTCCCAGGAGGGGCAGGCACGGGGCTCTGCACCTGGGGCTCCTGCCTCTCCCTGGACAGGGAGGACGGGAGGGTTCCCACCCACGGAATCAGATTCCGGAGACCCGGCCGGGCTGGCCGTTCCTCCACACGCAGGCCTGGCGTGCGGGTTCATGCCGAGGTGGTTTTGGCTGTCGCTGGAGCCGGAGGAGGCGCAGGGTCTGGCAGCCCTGCTGCCGCCAGGCCTGGACGTGTGGCCCACCCGCGGGGTCATGGAGGGGCTGGTCCCCTCCCCCAGCGGGCGTCACACCTTGTCCTGGGTGCTGGCTCCCGCAAGGGCGGCGGCGACACTCTCGCCTCTCGGGGCTCTTCCCCAGATTCCCCCTTCCTCCTCTTCCTCCCAGAAGGGTTCCCTCGTGCCGTGCCGTGTTCCTAAGAATTTCTTTTTTAATTATGGTAAGGCACCCGCAACTGATGCACTTTACCACTTTAACCCCTGGCAGGGGCGCGAGCCAGGGCCCCAAGCACATTCAGGGTGCACGGCCGCCGCCACCCTCCGTCTCCGAACCTGGTCGTCTTCCCAAATGGAACTGGCCCCCTCGAACCCGACTCCCCTCCACAGCCCCCTGAAGCCGCCGTCCCGCTGTCCGAGCGTGACCGCTCTGTGCCTGCGCCGTTTTTGCCACATTCCCCCGTCTGGGCACGTTCAGAATTGGTGGTTGGAGGCTTTGTCAGGTTGGGATTTGGTTCTTTTTTGGGCTGGTTTGGCTGGGGCACTTCCGGGCGGATCTTGTGTCCCTCAGGAGGCACCGGTGGCCGAGGTGTGCCGGATGTTGGCAGCGGAGCCAGACACAGACCCCCAGCTGTTGGGGTCCCGAGCACCGACCTCCGGATCCCGGGCGGGGCCACCTGCTGGCTGCCCTGGTCCCGGGTCTGGCGTGGCTGGCTGTCGTCTCGGTCTTTGAGCTGCGTGGCCGCCCTACCGAGCACATGCCATGCCCACTGGCGTGACGCTGGGGCCGCACGGTTGGTGTCTCTGGTGGATGACCGTCGTCCTAGGTCGAGGAGGTCCCTGCTCCTGTTGTTCCGTCCTCTCCGTGAACTTCCTTCCCACGCACTCCCCTGGGTGTGTGGGCGTCACAAGGCAGCCTGCGGGTGCTGACCTCGCCCCACTCCCAGGCACTCAGAGGTGGGGGAGAGGGACGAGCCCGGTCAGGCCCCTTGGCTGCACCTCTCCTGCGAGTTCTGCGAGAGCTGGGGCTCAGGGGCCCCCGAGACACATTCACAGGCCGAGGGAACGCCAGGTGGCACAGGAGGACCAAGAAGCTGTCCCAGGGTGGGCTGGAGGAGCTGGGGCGCAGGCAGGCTGTGCCAAACCCTGTCCACACCAAGGTTTCCCGAGGGGCTGCCCAGTGCACGGGCGCCTTCCCCGTCTCGGGACGAGCCCGACCCCGCCCTGGCCCCCCCCCCCTTGGAGGCAGGACCCTGGGCCACCCTGGTCAGTGCGGGCAGACACACCATGGGAATCCCCTGTCTGGGGACGGTTTAACGAAACCCACGGTGCCCTGTCCTCCTGGCGCCCACTAACCCTCTTTCTCCCCCCCTCAGTACATCGACGCCATCAGCAACAAGCAGGGCGAGCTGGAGGGCTACGTGTCGGATGGCTACAAGACGGCCCTCACCGAGGAGCGCCGGAGATTCTGCTTCCTCGTGGAGAAGCAGTGCGCCGTGGCCAAGAACTCTGCCGCCTACCACGCCAAGGTAAGGCCGGGCCGGGCCAAGCTCTGCGCTGGCAGTCGGGCCTGGAAGGCAGAGGCAGCCTCGTCCGCCTGACCCCAGGAGCACGCCAGGGCGCTTCCGGGCTTGAGCTGTGGGGGGGGGGGGCGGTGCCAGGGGGAACATCTCTGCGCAGTTGTTTTGGGCTTTCCTGGGCGTGGAGTTCTAGAGGGAGGGTGCCCAGGTCGCAGGGTGCGGGCGTTTTGAAGACTTGCATTGGAAATCGCCCCGTGTGTTTCTGAGAGAGGTCGCATCCGGGTCTAGTGGGCTTTTGGGGCCTTCTAGGATGTTTGGGGTGTTGGTCCTTTGGTGGGGTGCAAGGCTCCCCTGTACCGCTGCCCGGCAGGCTGGCTCTGTGCCTGTGTGGGCCCCTCCTGGCGGCCCCCTTAACCCGGAGTTCTGGGCTGTGGTCTCTGGGCTCCCCGCCTCTGGCCCCAGGGCTCCGGCCATCCAGCATGAGGCCATGTCACCAGCCTGTCCCAGGTGGAGCCTGCTCTCCCTCCTCGCTTCCCGGGCAGCCACAAGCCCTGCCCGTCACTGGCCCCTGCTCTCTGACCACTCCCCAGCCCTGTCCCTCGCTGCACCAGAGGGGCCTCTGCAGGGCCCAGACCTGGCCGCGGGGTCCGGCTCTCGCTGACCTCTGTCACCCCCACTCACTCTCTGCAGCCACTCTCTGGCTACGTCCCACTCCCCTTCCTGTGTCCCAGTCTGGGGGCCCCTTCCCTGGCCAGTGGTCTCTCCTGCTGTCAGCCCCCCAGCTCCTGCAGCCCTGTCTCCCCTGTGAGGCCCCCAGTCTGGCACCTCCTTGGGGGTTGGGGGGATTCTGCTCTGGGAGAGGCTCCGTGTCCCAGGACCCAGCCCGGACTCGCTGAACAGAGACTGTAGGGGCTTCTCCAAGGAATGAGCTTCTCAGGAAAAGGCTGCAAAGGCCCCCCAGGAACAGGCAGGGTCAATGGGCATCTCTTCACCCATGGGCAGGAGCTGGGTTAGAATCAGATTGTGTGATCTGGAACATTCCAGAGCATTCTGAGAGCTTAGAAGATGTGGTTTGGCAGTCGAGCTAGCATGGGAGGCCTGGTCATGTCCTTTCAAATAGGGGCTTCCAGGGGTCCGCAGGGCACGCACCAGCTCCGGTCCTCACAGCCAGGGCACCAAGGAGACAAATCCCTTGCCCCCACCAAGCTGCGGGGTGCTGTGGGCAGGCGCAAAGCAAGGACTGCACAGGTGCACCTGTGTCCCCTGGGGCCCCGCTGCACGGGCCCCACCCCGCCCCTGCCGTGCCATTGTGGGCACGCTCCGGGGAGCTCCTGGGAGTGGGGCGCCTGCCCCAGCAGGCAGGGCTGTGGGAGCCCAGCTGCAAACTCTCCCGCAGGCTCAGGGCAGCCGCGGCAGCTCTGCCGTGTCTGCTGCAAGCGCAGCACGGGCATCTGCGCCCTCTATCGGGGGCCGGGCCCTGTGACAGGGTCAGGGAGAGAGGGCGGGAAAGCCCTGCTGCCTGCCAGGGCTCTGCCAGGGAGGGGAAGCAGACTGCAGCAGGTGGACCGCCGGGCCCACCCTGCCCTCCCCTCAGGCCTCCAAGCCCCGGGCGTGTCTAGAAGGGGCACAAACCACAGACCGGCTCGGACAGCACCTGGGCTAGGGCTGGGGCGCAAGGCAGCCCCCCTGGGGCTGTTCTCAGCAATGAAGCGACCGGGCAGCTCCCCAGTGTCCAGGTTGGGCTGCTCCATGCGACCTGCAGGGGCTCTGGTGGAAGTGACTTGGCTCGTGGCTGTCGGGCCTGTGCGGGCCAGGACTGGTGGCTCTCCTAGCGTGGGGGCCCTGCCCCAGTGAGGCCGGTGACCCTGCCGCACCCTCGCCCTGGGCTGCGCATGTAGGTGCTGGTCCCCGCCTATGGGCTCCACCCCGTTATTTTTCCAAACCCAGACTTGCTCCTCTGCCGTTGACCTGGGTCAAACCAAGGGTCAGCGGACCTTTTCCTCGCAGGCCAGATGGTAAATGTTTTCCTCGCAGACCAGATGGCTCTGTGGGCCAAAGTCTCTGTGTCTTGTGGCATGAGTGGCCGCAGGGGATTTGTAAATAATACAAGTTTTCTTTACATAAGAGGAGTCCAGCCCTCGGACTGCGGCTCGCCTAGCCCGGTATAGCAGCCTGCTGTCCCGCACCCTCCACTGTCCACCCGCGGGTGCCCTGCCCACCCAGCCATGCTGAAGGGAGGGAGGGGACTTCGGAGAAGCTGGGGACGCCTCTGGCTACTCCAGGGTCTGTGGCAGCTGGTGATGCAGGACTCACTTGACTAAGCAGCTGGGAGGGGCAGGGCTTGATAGCGCCCAGGTCCCAGGCAGGAAGTTCCCGCAGCAGATGGTGCAGGACCCCCCTGCCCCGGACCCCAGACTCAGGCCCGTCCCCAGGCCCGGGGCTCCCTTGTTCTCTGACACTGCCGTGCTCAACTGGGCTGTGTCTGGCGGCCCCTGTGTCCACCAGAGCAGAGCTGGGCTCTGAGGGCCCAAGAGCACCGGTGTGTCTGCCGAGCGCCCCTGACCGGGCAGCTTCTCGCACCCTCAGCAGCCTGCCTGGCCACTGCCCGGCAGCTCTGTCCCTGCTGTGGCCGACACCCTCTTCCCCCTGCCAGGGGGTGCTCTTTTGATAGCATCGTGGTTTACCCACAAAGGGTCTGTCCATCATGTGGCCACCGTGTGGGCTCCTGTCCGTTTCTCCTCCTTCTAGGCCTTCGTGGCCCATGACGCCTTGGTTTGCTGTCACCCCTGGTGGTCCTGGACCTCATGGCTCTTGCTGGGAAGCCCCTTTTGTCGGTCGGGGGTCCCGGGTAGCCCGTCCTGCTGTGGAGCAGCACCTGGCGAAGAGAGCCGGGTGCCCTGGGGGAGCCCAGCCTGTGCCGCCCTGACACCCTCCCCGTCCTGCCTCCTCCGCTCCAGGGCAAGGAGCTGCTGGCGCAGAAGCTGCCGCTGTGGCAACAGGCCTGCGCCGACCCCAACAAGATCCCGGACCGCGCCGTGCAGCTGATGCAGCAGGTGGCCAGCAGCAACGGCGCCATCCTCCCCAGCACCCTGTCGGCCTCCAAGTCCAACCTGGTCATCTCGGACCCCATTCCGGGGGCCAAGCCCCTGCCGGTGCCCCCCGAGCTGGCACCGTTTGTGGGGGTGAGTCTGTGGGCCCCGGGAAGCGTAGGGGAGGGGACCTGGCACCTGGGAGGCCTGTTGGGGCTGCTGAGGGCGGGGGACACTCTCCCCCACCTGGCCCCGCCCAGGGCCGCCGGCAACCCCTGCCCCTTGCTGCCCCCCTGCAGCGGATGTCTGCCCAGGAGAACGCGCCCGTCATGAACGGCGTCGCAGGCCCGGACGGCGAGGACTACAACCCCTGGGCTGACCGCAAGGCTGCCCAGCCCAAGTCCCTGTCTCCTCCGCAGTCCCAGAGCAAGCTGAGCGACTCGTACTCCAACACGCTGCCCGTGCGCAAGAGCGTGACCCCCAAAAACAGCTACGCTGCCAGTAAGGGCTCCCCGGGGTGCTGGGTGGGGGTCCTGGACGTGCCTGGGGGCCGTGAACGTGGCTTGGCGGCCGGTGGGCTCGCTCGGTCAGCGACTCGGGTGCAGGCGGCTGCTGCCCGGGACGGCCCCTCTGTTGGCGCCTGGCACGTGGGCTGGGAGTGTTCTCGGCGCTGCGTCCAGGCTGCCTGGCCCCCGCCCGGGCTCTGCTGTCTCTGGGGGACAGTCTCTCATGGCTTCCCCCGTCCCCACAGCTGAGAACAAGACTCTGCCCCGCTCCAGCTCCATGGCCGCCGGCCTGGAGCGCAACGGGCGCACGCGGGTGAAGGCCATCTTCTCCCACGCGGCGGGGGACAACAGCACCCTGCTGAGCTTCAAGGAAGGGGACCTCATCACCCTGCTGGTGCCCGAGGCCCGTGACGGCTGGCACTACGGCGAGAGCGAGAAGACCAAGATGTGAGTGCCGTCGGGGCGTGGGGCGGCCTGCCCGTCCGCAGTGAGCGCAGGGGCGGCGGCCTGCCAGCTCATACGCGCCGGCGGCTCTGGGCCCTTCTTTAGACAGGGGCTCCCGGGCACAGGCTCTCATCGCAGGAAACCTGGGCAGTAAGAACGAGAGAGACCCTGGGGGACTTTCCCCACACAGCAGCGACCTTCAGCGGCAGTCTGGTCACCTGTCACCCGGGTGGCGCGTCACTCGATTGGCGCGGGGTGCAGTGTCCCTCGAGTGCGCACAGCCATGGCACGTCCGGCCATTTCCCTGCTGTGAGGCGTGTGGTCTCCCACAGCTGGGGGTACAGAGCAGGGCCCGGCCAGCCTGAGCCCACCACCTCCGCGTGTCTGGTGGGTCCTGGAGTTGGTCTGGGGTTGCCTAGAAGTCCTGTTGTCCAGTCAGGTGGCTGCACCTTCTCGGCTTACCCGAATGCCTGTAGCAGAGGGGCTGGGCCGAGGTCGCACCCTTATCTGCCCTGGGGGCCACCCGGGTTGGGGTCTGCCTTCCCCAGACCACTCTTGTGTGGAGCGGGTCTCAGCAGGATGGGCGGCGTCACCCCACGGCAGAGTCAGCCCCGACTCCTTTGCCCTCCTGACTCGGGAGGGAGGGTGTAAACTGCGCTTGGCTCTGGCCCGGGCAGCCACGGCCCTGGGGAGAAGGGACGTGTCCTGTCCCTGCGGGGGACTGGCTGCTCTGGTCTTGGTGCCGTGGCTCAGTGACTGGGGCTTGTGGCAGGAGCCAGCCTGTTCAGGGAGCAGCAGCCACGCCGGGGGCCTTGTGGCTGCGTCTGGGTGGGCACAGCTCCCCTCGGGGCAGGGGCAGCGGCAGCTCGGGGCTGAGCACACAGGGGTGGGCCCAGTCCCTATCTTTGGAGTGCCAGCACCTGCCCTCCACGGGCGACTGCAGCCAGGCCGGGAGCGGGTGGGACTTGGGCCTGGAGGGGATGGCAGGGGCAGGCTGTTGCTTGGGTTCCCGCCTGCCTGGGGCCTCCGGAGCTGAGCGCCGGCCCTCCTCCCTGGGCCTCTCTCGCAGGCGGGGCTGGTTTCCCTTCTCCTACACGCGGGTGCTGGACAGCGACGGCGGCGACAGGTTGCACATGAGGTGAGCACTGGCCGGCCCGATGGGAGCGCGTGGCCCGCGGCTCTGCACAGGGGCTGTGTGAGGACAGGGGCGCTGCCCCAGGACCCTGGGCACAGAGCTGGGCTGGGCTTCTGGCTCCTTCTGTGGCTGCCCCCACAGGCCCTGAGGGCTGGACGTCCAAGGCCGATGGGCTAGATGGGCATGGGGGTGTTGCCGGGTCAGGAGGTGGCCTGTAAGGCGGGGTCCGAGGGCCCGTGGGGACCAGGGCAGGGGCGTGGGCAGCAGGTGCCATGTGGTGGCCCGTCTCCAGCAGACCTGGGACAGGTTCTAGAGAAGTGTGGCTGGGATCCGGTGGGGGTGCGCGGCTGCCAGGAAGGTCAGGGGTCACTGTGGGGCTCCTGGTCTGGTGCAGCCTCTCTGGGGCCGGGCGAGCAGCCCACAAGGAAGGAGAGAGGGAGTCCAGCCTGGGCAGGCGCGTGGGGTCAGCATGGCTGTGGTCTCGGCCACTGAGCGAGCCTGTGCTCGCGCCCTGTGGGGCCGGAGGAGGCGGGGCGCGGGGCGCTGGGCCCGGCTCTGAGCCCCGCTCCTGCAGCCTGCAGCAGGGCAAGAGCAGCAGCACCGGGAACCTCCTGGACAAGGACGACCTGGCCCTGCCGCCCCCCGACTACGGCGCGTCCTCCCGGGCCTTCCCCCCCCAGACGGCCGGCACCTTCAAGCAGCGGCCCTACAGCGTGGCCGTGCCCGCCTTCTCCCAGGTGAGCGGGCCGGGGCTGGTGGGCTGGTCTGGGCTGCGGCCACCTGTGGGGCGTGGGGGCCTCCCTCCCTCGGGCACCCTCTGGCTGCAGGCTCAGGTGCCCCGGCAGCCACAGTGGGCTCACCGCCCCTCCCTGGGGGGCTGCGTCTGGCTGGGAGGCGTCTGGCACTGAGGGCCCCTGGACCCCCGTCTCGGCAGGACCCGGATCAGGGAGGACTCGGTTTCCAGGGGCCCGTCCCTGAGGGCCAGGGGCTCCCTCAGCCACGTCACGTGACGCGAGCACCTGCTGCTCAGGATGGGCTGTGGCCGGAGCCTTCTAGTCATCAGGACCCAGGGGTTGGCCCATCCTGTACCCGGGGGCCAGAGGTCTGGGAGGGTGACACTGCCCAGGAGTCCCAGGCAGCCCCAGGAGTGTGGTGGTCTTGGCGTCTGGGCCGGGCCGGAGCTCGCCGGGCCCCCAGTGCCCTGCCCAGGGAGGCTCATGGGGTTGGAGGGAGGGAGCCCGCTCGCTCTCCAGGGCTGGGCCTCAGGCTGGGGGCGCAGGGGAGAAGAGAACAGTCTTTTTCGGGTACCCTTGGCTAGTGAGGGTCCCCCACGCGGACAGTGTGAGCCGAGCCTGGGGAAACGGTTGTCCCGAATGGCCTTCGCTGCCCACCGCCACCCACCACCACCTCCCTGTGCCGACGGCTGGGCTGGTCTGGCCTGGTCACAGGAGGGCCCTCGGAGGGCACCAGCCTCAGGGCCATGTGACGTCCCTGCCTCTGGGTCTCTGAGTGGCTTCAGTATTGTCACCACCCCTGAATGTCCCAGGGCCAGGTCAGGCAGAGACGTGGGGGCTCCTGGGCGGTAAATCCTCTGGGGCCAGGACGTCACACGAGCAGGGACCAGGAAGCTGCAGCTGGGGACAGGTGCCCAGGCTTGTGTGAGGTCAAGGGTTAGGGTTAGGGTTAGGCCTAACCCTAGGCCTGCGCTGCTCCCCGGGGCTGGGGGTGCAGGGCCCCTGCTGTGGGAGACACGTGCAGAGCGGCGTTGGGGGTCTGTCCTGTGCAGTTGGGGCACACAGACGGCCCGACGAGGAGGCACCTTGTTAATTTGGGGGGTCACCACTTCACTGGGGACCCCGGGTTCCAGGGAGGCCCCCACGCACCACAGCCAGGAGGTGGGGGAGGGGAAGCCTTCCGGGGAGTCCAGCTTGACCCCACGGAGGCTGGAGCAGCTGTCGGAGGATGGGCACTGGCCACGCGGGGACGTGGGGACTTGGTGCAGAGCCTGACCTGCCTCTGTCTTCGCCCCCAGGGTCTGGACGACTATGGCGCCAGGTCCGTGAGCAGGTAAGGCTTTCAGACCTGACCTTGGGGCCATGGGCGGGTGTGTCAGGGGCTGGCCGGGGGCAGGTCCCCCTCTTGGGACCTCCGGGGCTGGCTCTTCTTCCTCTGGGAGCCCAGCACCAGCGCCAGGGCCCCGCTCTTCCCACGGGGAGCAGGAAGCGCCCGGGGCTGCTCCCCCTTCTGAGCCTGGTCTCCCCAGAACCCGCTGAGGCCGGTGGCCTGTGGCCGTGGCCCCTCTGCGCCCGCCTGGGCTCCGCCCTTGTCCGGGGGCCCTCTCCGGACCGGCCGGCTGGCGGGAGCTGCTGGAAGGGGCCGCTGTGCGGCGCCGTGCATCCCGGCAGCTGTCCTGTGCTTTGTTCCACAGCGGCAGTGGCACGCTGGTGTCCACAGTGTGAGGACGCCAACTGCGGGCGGCCGCTGCTCGGGAGAGCTCCGCCCCCCCGTCTCCGCCCTCAGCTCTCGCTGGTTTGTTCTTGGGTTGTTCTTTCCACTCCGCCCCCGCCTTTCGGTTGGTGACCCCAGACTCTGCGATCCCCCAGGGTCCATGGTGCTGCTCCTCCGCCCCCGTGTTTACAGCCCCGTGTGTCCCGGCCCCTCGCGCAGAACCCGCGGGCAGCACCTGCCGGGCAGCGCAGGGGCCTCCTCCTCCGCCCACCCGCGGCGTCCGCGCGCTCCCTCCCCGTTCCCAGGCTCGCCCAAGCCGGGCCTAAAGTTTGAACAACAAAAAGAAAAATCTTTGAAAAAAAAAAAAAAAGATGAAAAACAGGAAAAAGGACTTTTTTTCCTGGAAAACAAAAACAGGCATGCATGGACTCCGGTGTACGTACTGTTACTTTGCATCCGACCCCTCGCGCTGGCGCCCGCTAGGACAGGGGAGGTGCTGGGCCGTGGCTCGCGCCCGGGGACCGGCCGCCCCAGGCCCCTTCTGAGGCCGCAGGGGAAGGGGGCTCGTGCCGAGCTGGGGCCTCCTGAGGAAGCTGCCGCTCCGGTGAGGGAGGCCGCGGCCGGGCCCAGCCGGTCGGCCGGCCGGCGCACGAGGCCTTGCCCCTGGTGGGCTGGACGGTGTGCGTGGGCCGCTGTGCGGAGGCCGGGCGCACCCCCGGCAGGGGGTCCTTACCTCACGCAGCGCTGGCAGGAGCGGGCCCGGGGCAGGCGCTGCCCGGCCGCACACGGACATTCCAAAGACCTCCAGAGACCCCCGCCCCCCACGTGTTTTGGAAATCGTTTCTTTAACCAGCCTTGTGAGGGAGTCCCGGCCTGGCTGCGCGCGGCAGGGCGTGCACGGCGGGCCGGCCCTGGGAGGGGGCTTGGCGTGCCTCCCCGCACCGCCCCCCAGGGGAGCAGGCGGTCCCTGCCCCGTTCTTCCTAAACACTCTCGTCTTTTTGTGTGTCTTGGTGACTTTAGAAGCAAACACACTGGACTCAGTGGCTACTGGTATTGTCTCTTCACACACTGAATTCTGGGGAGTGGCGCGAAGGGCGCGGCCCGGCTCCGCCTGCCTGCCGCGGGGAGCCCCTTTGTGAAGCTGCGGACGCCCCTTTTTCTGATGTGGTTTAGCAAAACCCTCCCGCACACCTGCCCGTGGACTGGGATGTGGCTGTAGTTTGTGAGAGAAGCAGCTCCAGGCACAGACAGACCCGTTTTATATTTAAGGAAAACAAAGCCAGGACCGGGACCTCTGTAAGGAGAACCTTCTGTGCTGTTCTAATTTTGCTAAAAGATTTCAAATCCAGGGGATTCCATGCTCAATGGATGAATGTAGACAAAACCGCAAAACTTGTATGAAGATGTAAAGTGCTGAAAATATTTTTCCTGTTTCTTTTCCTTTTTTTTAAACATCTGAATTGTGCCCTGTACTGCAGTTACCTGTTTGAATAAAAGTTTTATTTATTGCACCGAGTTGGGTCTGGAGCCTCCTTGCAGCTCCCGGCACGTGTCTGTCTGGGGCGTGCACACCGAGCCGTCTCCCCGCGCTTGTCCGCCCCAGCCGAGGCGGGGGACGCCCGGCCCCCCCAGCCTGCCCTCCCCCCGCCAACTGAGCCTTGTGTTTCCTTGCAGCGCCGAAGTGGAAGTGGCCCGATTCTGAGCCGCGCTGACCAGAGCTAGTGAGTTGCCCTGGCGTTCTCGTGCCGGTCCGTCTGCCTCTCCGCGGACCCTCCGGCCCGGCCGTGCAGTCCGGCCGGGCAGGGCGGGGGTCTGCCGCGCCTGCCTCTGCTCCGGGCTCCGGGCCTTCGCCTACTGGGGCCCTCAGCTTGCGGGTTTCTGCCTTGCGTCTGCGGGCTGCGGGCTGCGCCTCTCTGTGCCCACCACCCCTGCGTGCCGGGCGTGGATCTGGCCTGGCCTCTGTCTGGTCCTCTCCTGCCCTGCTGGGCGCTTTGACCTCAGTCCAAGGGGGGCCCCAGGGGGCAGCTGTGGGCCGGGCCTTCCCCCGCTGACCATGCAGCACCCGCTTGGGCTCCGTCGGGTCTGTGTCACTTTGTCACTTCTCATACCGACCCCGTGGGGCGCGGCCTGATCCCAGCCTGGTCGGTGAGTATGACAGCCGGGGAGCGTGGCGGCCAGGGTCTGGGCCTGGGGACAGCCCCGGAGCACACGTGGGCTCCGTGGGGACGGGTGGACATGGGGCTCTGCTGCCCAGTCTGACCCCCACGTGGTCCCAGGATGCCATGCCAGGCTTCCTTACACATGGGGCCCCCGCCGGCACCTCCCAGCTGCCTTCTGGGACAGATGTGGGGAGCGGCGAGGGGCTCTGCTCACCTGTCCCCCCGGCAGAAGGGGCTTCCCCCAGCCGCACACCCGGAACTCCTAGGACGGTGGCCCTGCGAGGCCAGCACTGTCATCCTTACCAGGGACGGTGGTCACGGGCAGGTCCTGGACCCTGACTCTCGTGTTGCTGCCTTTCTGTTGTTGAGGTGCAGCGTATTCTGGAAAGTTCAGTAGTAAAACGGTCCTGAAATTTGGTCCAGGAGGATAGAAGTGTCCTTGGTGGGCCTCACGCCCCCCTACGCCCCCCACTCCTGAGCCGTGCGCTCGGGCGGCTGCAGAGCCCTTGCTGGCCGGGTCCCTCTGAGCTGCCCGAGGGCCGTGCTGTCCCCACCGACCTGGGCCCTGGGGCTCAGGAAGGGCTGAGGGCTCAGGGAGGCGCAGCCTTCGCCGGGGACCACGTGCCCGCGCGGGGCAGAGACCCAGCACAGGTTCTCGACCACACGGTCTGCCCGGTGCCGTGATTCACCTGGGGGTGGGCGTGTCAGAAGCCACCTGTGGTTGGTCAAGGGACCCCACTTTGCCCTGAGCCGAGGGTGCTGGGGGCTCAGGACGCGAGGGGGGACGGGCGCCCCGGCCGCAGTCCACACTGCCACGGAGGCCACCGCCCACCGCCACTCAGTCCGGAAGGGCGAGGCAGACCAGTGGCTGTCTCGGCGCCGAGTACTTGGCGGCACGGATGACCCCGAATCCGTGGCGCCCTCAGCTCTGTGATTCCGGAACGGGAGCTGCCGCGCCGGGCGCGTGTGCAGGAGTAGCAGGTCGGGACCTGGGACGTGTGGTCTCTGGTCACAGCGTCCCCCAGAGCTGCCCGCGGGCAGGGGGTGCCCACGCCTCCCTCCTGACCCTGCCCTGCGCGGGGAGGGCGCCCCTTGGGCCTGTGGGAGCCTCTGACGGCAGCCCCTGGCGGGGAAGTGGGCCCAGTCCTCAGCGCGCGAGGCCACCCAGGTCCCGCTCGGGAGCAAACCTGCCGCCAGGGCCCCCCCCCGCGCTGGGACCTGTGTCGTTGACGTCCCGCAGGCCGCGTGCGGGTTGCTGGTTTTGTCTCTCCGAGGTTTGCTGTGCTCGTTGCCAGACAGGGTAGTTGAGAAGGAAGCCGGGCCTGGGGTGTGGCCCGGCAGGGACGCGTGTTGTGGCACCTGCTCCATAGCAGGTGGGGGTGACCCTGCGTGATTCGACTCCGAATTGCGTCCTTCTGCGGGCCTCGCGCGGGGCCACCAGGGTGGCTGGCGGGCGTTTCAGGCATCCTCGATGTGGCCAGGGTCTGAGCAAGGGGCCTGGTCACGTGGAGCCTGGTCTGGTCTAGGCTGCTGAGGGGCCGCCCAGAGGTCCTGCCTGCCCACGAGGCACGCGGACGTGGCGTTCATGGCCCCGGCTCACGTCTGCAGAACCTCGTAGTGTTGGTGGCTTAGCAGGTTCCATTTGGGGGAGAAAACAAAAACACAGGCTGCAGAACAGGGCCCTGCGTGGTGGCAGTGTGGGCCCCGAGGCTCCCATCCCGGCTGACGGTGTGGTTTTGCCCGAATCTTTCTGACGAGAACTGGTGTGATTCGCAGCAGGGTAGGGCGCATCCTTAAAGCTACCCTCGGCTCTAGCCCCAGCTTCCCTCTCTGGGACCCGCAGGCATTTGCGATCTGTCCTCTGCTGCCCAGACTCTGAATGAAAGTCTGGCCCCGTTTCTAATCTCCCCAGGCCCCAGAGGGATGGAGAGACGATGGGCTTGGGGACAGACGCAGGCCACAGAGCCCTGCTCCAGAAGCTGGCGGGCAGGGCCGGGCCGCTCTCTGGGCCTGCCGGAAGCAGACGCACCCGGCCGTGGCAGAACCGTGGCCGCCTGGGCCTCGGCAAGGGGCGCAGGACCACGCAGATCAGAGCCGAAGACGCCGATAGAGCAGGCAGCGTTGAGTCGCCTTTCCTGGGCCGCAACCCTCTGGGTCGCGAAGTCAGTTGTTAAGCAGCCCTGCCTGGGCCGTGGCGCCTCTTGGGGTGTGGGCGCCCTCCGATCTGTCCACGTCCACACACACTTGAGTCTTTGAAAACTCACGGTGCAAAGCGTCACGGGTTTTTAGAAACCACAAAGTCTCAGGAAAACAGGCAGGCGTGCCCAGCCCACGGGCCGCTTCCTGGGCGCACAGGACGGAGCCCTGCCCACCTGGCCGCGGGCCGCTGCCGCGCCGGCCACCCAGGCTCCCGGGACTCCGCTGCGCCAGAGGCGACTCCGCTCCAGGTAACGGCTCTGGAGCCGAGCGCAGCTTCACCAGAGCCGGTCCTGTCCGTGCCGTGCCTCCATGTCCACATGCCATCCGTGCTGTCCCCGCGGGTGGGTGATCCAGAGGGAAGAGGCTTCGCCAGTACCAGGCAGGGCCACTCCTCACCCGCTCATCTCGTCCCTTTCAACTTCTTGTCTCGAGTCCTTGTGCGTCAGCCTGGCCCCGGGACCTCGCGGAGGGCTCAGCTCCCGGGGTGGCAGGTGGCTGAGCCTCCTGCAGGGCCCGGCGTCCACGCCAGCCCCGTGGGCAGCAGTGTGTGTGCGTCTCGTGTCTGTGTCTCCGTGGGGCTGCGTGGCGTCCCGCAGATGCCCCATGTGCCTGGGCCGGGCTCGCGGGGTCCCAGAGCTGTGTCCTTGGTGTCGGTGGATCCTCCCTTGGCCTGGCCTGGTGGGCGCTCGCCAGACTGACGTGGACGCCGCCCAGACCGTCTCGGTCCCGAGAGGGGTGGCTCCCCCCCCACGCGGCAGAGGTCCACCCGCCCTGGGAGGCCGACAGGAGTGGCTGGGGAGGGTGGCACTGCGGGCCAGCAGGCTCACAGAAAGCGCCCGTCCCGCACCCACAGGCCCAAGGGTGGCCGTCAGGGTCCGGCACAGGGGGTCCCGGGGCACTGGGCAGCCCGGGGGTCGCTCGCCCACACGCCTGTCGCAAGCTAAAGCCACTCTTCTCTCTCTCCTCCTCAGGATCCCTTCGCCACGTACAGCTGAAGCCCACGTGACCAACGACAGGTCGCTCCCTCCTCAGCTGAGGCCACGTCTGCTCTGCTGCCCGTGTGCCACACCCCACCCCGCATGGGACCTGTCACCATCTGCGTGTTCCTGCTCAGGACAGGCCACGCCCCACCTGCCGGGCTGTGCCCACTGCAGTCTGGCCTGGACCCGGCTGTACCTGGCGGAGGCCGCGCGGAGTGGGGCTGGTCCCCGAGAGGCCCTGGGGCAAGGGACCCGCCTCGTGGGGGCAGGCGCCTCTGGGCCTCGGAGCCTGGGGCACCCCTGGGCCTGGAGACACGGAGGACAGACAGCCAGCCGTAGCTGGAAGAGGAGCCACGCCGCCCTCACTCCCACACTCTAGTCAATAAACAGGCTGCCCCAGCCTCGCCGTGTGATCTGTCTGCAGGGCCGGGAGGCAGGACGCCCCTGCGAGCCCCACCTGCCGCGCCTGGGCTGGGGTGGGGGTCTGGGCCTCCCACCCCGCTGCAGTGTGGGGTTCCCAGCTCCGGGCAGAACCTGGCTGCTGGGGTCTCTCGGGGCAGGGGTGTCAGGCGCTGTGGCCTGGGAATCTCTTCTTCT